TACGACCGGATCAAAAACGCAATCCACTGAGAAGATCCGGCGAGAACCTCAGTGGGCTGTGTCTGGGCCAAAATTCTTAAAGCTAAACATCACATGACTGCCAAACACAATACAATAATAATATGTTGACAACTTTACAATTATTTTTTATAATAATACCAGACGTCATCACGTCAGAGAAATATTAATTTAGTCGGATTATTGTTTATTTGTTAATAGTACCACCGAACAAGATGGAACGCCAGAATGTTTTGCGGCCAAAATAGATAGAACTGTAGTAACAATGTTGCGTACTCGCATGCCTTCCTACCTAAAATGCGAATTTAAAATTTTTGTTAGTTAGTTTTGGCTGTCGTTATTTTGTTGCAACAAGGTTTGAGATGAGTGAATCGTGTATAATGTTTTTGAAATTGGCACCTACCTACCCGAGGACCGGAACTGTTCAATAGCACGACTGTAATACCGTGCGCCAGTAAGGTCACGGACGCTTATAGCCTGCGCGGAAACTGTAGTCAGACATCTGCGCAAATTTAAATGAGTTGGTGAACCGACGTCAAATTGCCGTGGACCCCTACTTCCTTCCGAAACCTATGAATTAGTTCGTTCCGAGCGTTTTGATATGCTCTTTGCAACTACAAAATGTTAGTTATCAAAGTATGTATATCTTAGTAATTGTTCTAAAAACGCTTATTGTTTTTTGTTATTTGTTCTGATTCAATGTAATTCAACTTTTTGAAGGTTGTTTGTTACTAGTAGACATCAATAACGTAAAAGCTCCCTACTATACTTTGCAACATGAGATTTAAGTCTAAATTTTGATAGTACAACCGCTGCCCCTCGCTGCCATACCCGTGCGGGCTCACAAAACGACCTACTACGAGAAAAGATGGCCAGTTACTAGCGTTCCTTCTAAGGTTAGATGGTTAGCATATTCCACGTTGTAGCGTCTGAACTCTGGAAGCAACTTACCAAAAGGCTTGCCAGAGGCGATCTCATTTTGGCAGCGAAAAAAACCCATCTTCTTACACAAGGCAATTGATAGACGTGTATTTCTAAATGCATTCGTAACAAAGAATAAGACCGTCCCGTGTTCTATTTCTGTCACACACTACGCTTATGAACGTTTTCCTGTTTGAAGAGTCCTGACGAAATTTACTATAATGCGATCGTTTGGGAGTATCGTTGTGAGTGTGTTCTTTAACGCGATCCTCGACCGAGGTGCGTCCTGAAGCATGTTGTCGTGTTTCGGTTGGATAATAGAAGACACCGTTACATAATACGTAGCATATTTTGATTGAATGATCGTTGGAAACACTTACTGAGATGGAGCATTCTGTTTTGTTATATACGCGTGTCTGGTATCATGGTAGTATCTGGTTTATTTTTTCAAAGGAGGTTAAATACGTTCTTGGAATCATTGTGTCAAAAATGTAATTTTTAATTTGTATCAATATCGTTTCATGATAAAATGCAATCCCCAAGGGATTTCGATCCGGCAGTAGATACATTCACAAAGCAGCCACCCTCAGCTAGTAGTTGTCCTTCGGCGGTTGGACAGCTTTTAACAAACCCACCCATTCTAGGTGAGCCCATGCTCGACCCCTGTTCTTATGAAGGTGGTAAGGTTCTGGGCTGCTATCAAACCCGCCATCCCAGAAAAAGTCATGTCATAAAGACCATGCTTGGATTTTTTTTTATTTTTTTATTGCCTTTGTAGGCAGATGGGCATACGGCCCACCTGATGGTGAGTGGTTACCGTCACCCATGGACTTCAGCAATGCCAGGGGCAGAGCCAAGCCGCTGCCTACCGCTTAATACTCTCCACAAGCCTCGTTTGAAGAAGGACATGTCATAGCGCTCGGGAAACACCGTGGAGGGGAGCTCATTCCATAGCCGGATGGTACGTGGCAAAAAAGATCTCTGNTCGACGTGCAACCTAACCCATGCATCAGCCCGCTGAGTTTCTCGCCGGATCTTCTCAGCGAGTCGCGATTCCGATCCGGTAGTAGATTCATTCGCGAAACAATTGCTCTTGAGTTGTTAGGTCTCCTTCGGAGGCGCTCGGGCAGTTGTTAGCAAATCCCGCCCCTCTTGGCTGAGCCTTTGCTCGCCCACCTGTCCTGGTGAAACTGGAAAGGCCTTCGGGCCACCAGTAAACTTTCAATCATAAAAAAAAAAAAAAGGTTCTGGGCTGCTATCAAACCCGCCATCCCAGAAAAAGTAATGTCATAAAGACCATGCTTGGATTTTCTTCATCGTTAATGAAGAATTCAATATGTTACTGTTGGCTAGTTAATGATAGTAGTGATATGCGGTGTAACTCACCTTGTAAACAGGTTTGCTTCAGGTTCGAATTGCTTTAGATCACGAATCCTTATGTGACAGACTGTGCGGGTCGCGCCAGACTGTGATTGGATTAGTGCCAAGACCACGTGCAGGTCTACGCTAAAATGACAGAAGAACCGTAGGAGTGACTTTCACGTGATTAGCGTTATGACGCGTTATGTGATTTGTTGGTGTATTTCAAAAACTGGTCTTTATACGATGTGAAAATAAAAACGTAGGTCAACCTTAGAATCGAAGGTTGTTGTCGATAGCTATAACAGGACAATAATATAAATGTTACACAGACCCAAAACGAGGATTATAAATCTTTAGAAAAACTACTTACGACGTAGCCAATTGAAGCACCTGAAACAAATGCAGCAACGATTTGATTCGGCTCCGACTAAAAGCAGTTATGATTTAATCCAATCTTTGTCCAACTTCTACGATATTTGGCAAACCACAATCTAATGTTAGGAAAATTCTCGAACTAGAATTCCACACAGACGCGCAAGGTCGTGTCGAGGTAATCTTTCAATTGGTGACAATTGACCCTCGTAAATCATGCAAAGGATATGCTTGTTCCTTGTTGCTATTAGTACAAAAATTGTCTAGAACCACAAAATATATAGCGGATCTATGTTATTGATTGGACATCAAACGAAACTGGTAACCAAAGATTGAGAATTGTTCGAAATAGACACCTCTACATTTTTGAGAGACATAACCTTCATGTTATGTCTCTCAAACATGACATGATGTTGAAGTGAATGAAGTCTAAAGTGGTCCAGTACTTAAGGAAGCCTCATTCTGTCACATTTGTTTGAATCAAAAGGTGATGTCTAGAGCAATCTGTTATTTCTTAAGTATACGTTTAGTTCATTGTCGTCCTTAAAGAGTTAGTTTAGAGCCTAAAATCCTTTAAAAATTCACTAAGAAGTTCGAGAAAAATCATTCCGTAATGTATTCGCACAGCTATTTCGTTGAATTAATAAATTGTCGACTATTATCTTTCGATGTGTGTAATCGAAGATTCGCATAGAATTTCAGAGGATGTTAGCTCATTCGCTCGTCTACAAACGAGAGCTTTGCCTTTAAAAATCATCCTAAAGATCTTCCACCGAACGTATAAGATTGCCCGGTAAACAAGCGCGATGTTCCGAATTTTATTGTTCGGAACTTGTAAATATGCAAACTTATCTTGAAAACATCGTTAGCGGGACTCAAGCGTCTGTCAAATATCTTGTGTTCTATGATAGCGGCCCGCCACATAACCGTCTCGTCGTTTTTTTTTTTTTTTTTGTTGCTTAGATGGTTGGACGAGCTCACAGCCCACCTGGTGTGAAGTGGTTACTGGAGCCCATAGACATCCACAACGTAAATGCGCCACCCACCTTGAGATATAAGTTCTAAGGTCTCACGTATAGTTACAACGGGTGCCCCACCCTTCAAACCGAAACGCATTACTGCTTCACGGCAGAAATAGGCAGGGTGGTGGTACCCACCCGCGCGGACTCACAAGAGGTCCTACCACCAGTAATTACGCAAATTATAATTTTGCGGGTTTCATTTTTATTACACGATGTTATTCCTTCACCGTGGAAGTCAATCGTGAACAATTGTTAAGTACGTATTTCATTAGAAAAATTGGTACCCGCCTGCGGGATTCGAACATGATGCATCGCTCAATACGAATGCACCGGACGTCTTATCCGTTAGGCCACTACGACTTCAAGTCTGAACCAAAGAGGATTGGATTCGCTAATAAAAAAGTAAGACCGCCAAGATGGCTTCTAAAACGCCGATGCATTCTGCGAAGCACTGCTCTTGCTAGTCACAGAGTTAGCAAACTCGCTCAAGTTGAACCCATGAGCCCACCTACCGGCCATAGATTAACTGAAATAGCCCCTTAGATTACCAGCGAATAGGTAGGAAAAAAGGGCGCCCAAATTTAATCTACAATATTTTGATCGTTCTCTAGTTTGGCCCAGTAAGAACCAATCGCCGACGTGGCCTTCGCAAACAATTGCAAATACAGCATTATCTATCATATGACGATAATAGCTGATTTAGAATAGCTGTAAGTGATTTTATTTATAGATTGTCGTGTAATCGAAATTGTAACACTGAATAATTGTCAAGATATAAGACAAAAAGAATAAGCGACTTATGGAAATAGTGACCACTAATTATATTCTGAGAGATGTTAATTAGCACATAGCAAGCACCACAGAGGGTATCCGTCGTGGTTCCATGGACCCGGTTTTATTGGTGGTAGGAAGTCTTTTGATTCCGCACGTAGCGTATGACGTAGCTGTAATAGCCTCTTATGCTACCAGCAAATAGGTAGTGAAAACAAATTTAATTAAAGGCTTCGTCAAACAAAACGCGTAATTAGCGCGCGTCAGAGCGCTACGCTATGAGGGCGAGATGTGTTGTACTACTATGGTAACATACAGAGCGCCAGCGCTATGAGCGCTATAGCGCTGGCGCTCTGTTTGACGGTATAATACCGTAGTAGTACACCACATCTCGGTCTCATAGCGCGGTGTTAGTTTAGCGCTCTGACGCGCGCTAAGTACGCGTTCTGTTTGACGAAGCCTTTAATGTTCAGGTTGCCTATTCACGTAAAACAAGGTATTTTGATTTTAACTGTATATTTTCCTTTGTTCCAGACACGTAAGCTGGCACGTAAAGTCTTAGTGTCCTGACGAAGCTCTTCGACCATTAGGACGACAACGAAAATGCACTGTCGACCATTCAAGAATAAACGCATCGCACTCACAAATATATTTTTAAACACGTAAAAAATAATAATCTCAGAACCAAAATTAGGAGTGATAAAAATTGTTCCTTTTCTTTAAATTATTATCAAAAGTCATTTGTTTTAGTGTTCTAAGTGTTATTTGTTTTTGTTTTTTTTTTTCTCTTGTGTGAAGTTTAAGCTGGAACTATGTTTATGATGTGGCTTTGGATCGGTTTTGCGATGGCCGCTAGTGTCGTTGCTGATCGTAGCAAACTACCTCCTGCCTGTGATAGGTGAGTTTCTTGAAGATTATTATTGTTATGCTTAATACGCGCTACTGTTGGTAGGACCTCTTGTGAGTCCGCACGGGTAAGTACCACCGCCCTGCCTATTTCTGCCGTGAAGCAGTAATGCGTTTCGGTTTGAAGGGTGGGGCAGCCGTTGTGACTATACTGAGACCTTAGAACTATATCTCAAGGTGTGTGGCGCATTTACGTTGTAGATGTCTATGGGCTCCAATAACCACTTAACATCAGGTGGGCTGTGAGTTCGTCCACACGTCTAAGCAATAAAAAAAAATAAAAAAAAATTATCTTTGTGATTAGAACTCCGTTTTATTTGGTATTAGATAGTATAGAAAATTCGATGTTTTTAATTGAACCTCAATTAAGTTTAGTCCATTCAAACAGCTGAATAAGTTCTTTTGTTATGATATTTTATTTACAAAATTTTAAATTTTATTTGGCTCTCATGTAAAGTTGCAAAATGTCGCTTAATCCAAAATAGCCTTGCACCCCTCAATATGACCTCTACATAATATACTTTGACTGTACATCTTGCGAATTTCTTGCTTTGTTTCTTTCACATTTGATTTACATATTTGATTTTTGAACGACTCCCTGATTTGCTGAATCGCCTTCTGTCTCAAATACATATTATAGTACCTTTGAAATATACTCTAATATGCCGTGAAGAACTACTGTAAAAATTGAGACCTTAGAACTCGTATGTCGAGGTGAGTGGCGGCATTTATGTCGTAGATGTCTGTGGGCTCCGCTGCCCACTTAACATCAGGCGGGCTGTGAGCTCGTTCACCCATGTAAGCAATAAAAATATAAAAAATAAAAATAACTTTTTTTTCAGTATGATTTACTGCCACGGGCCACTGTTAAACACGGTCCAAATGGCCGGCCTCTACAATGACTCCAAGACGTTTGTGGATATGAAAATTAAAATGTCACCAAAGATCACCTTGGAGCACTTCTATGACATGATGAGCAGGTGAGAGAGACATTTGCCACAATTTGGGATTAATGTTTTCAAAATCTTTTGGTTCAAGTAAATGTTTTCATTGTTCGGCTAAAATGAGTTTTGTTTGATTTTTGTGTTAAGCAAATGTGGGTACTAATGCAAAAGAAATAGAACTGCTTCTAGTCTATGCGTAATGTGGTTAAATAGAATAAAAGCTATCCACTACAAATCCGCACTAAAGGCTTGAATAAGAGAGAAATTAAGCGCATATCCAATAAAAAAATTAGTTATGAATGCAGGAAAAAAAAAATTTGGTCACGTCAGCGATGTTGGTGTATTTACATAAGTTAATGAATAAATGTTTTGAAGTCGTCGTGGCCTAAGAGATAAGACGTCCGGTGCATTCGTGTTGAGCGATGCACCTGTGTTCGAATCCCAGGCGGGTACTAATTTTTCTAATGAATTACGTACTCAACAAATGTTCACGATTGACTTCCACGGTGAAGGAATAACATCGTGTAATAAAAGTGAAACCCGCAAAATTATAATTTGCGTAATTACTGGTGGTAGGACCTCTTGTGAGTCCGCGCGTGTAGGTACCACCGCCCTGCCTATTTCTGCCGTGAAGCAGTAATGCGTTTCAGTTTGAAGGGTAGGGCAGCCGTTGTAACTATACTTTGATTTTTGAACTTATATCTCAAGGTGGGTGGCGCATTTACGTTGTAGATGTCTATGGGCTCCAGTAACCACTTAACACCAGGTGGGCTGTGAGCTCTTCTACCCATCTAAGTATTTATTAATTTTAGGTAGCATTTAAGAGTAAAAATACATATAATAGATAAAAAATACGTTCATATATTTGACGACATAAAGTTAGTACAGAATATAACCCCGTCTAAATGATCTAAAAACTAATGAGGAACTTCTTATATATATTGTGTGGTTATGAGTCCGCACGGGTAGGTACCACCACATCGCCTATTTCAGCCGTGAAGCAGTAATGCGTTTCGGTTTGAAGGGTGGGGCAGCCGTTGTAACTATACTGAGATCTTAGAACTCATATCTCAAAAGGGGGTGGCGCATTTACGTTGTAGATGCCTATGGGTTCCGGTAACCACTTAACACGAGGTGGGCTGTGAGCTCGTCCACTCATCTATGCAATAAATTAAAAAAAATATCTTAAATGTAAATTAAAATATTAATTTCAGGACGGATTCTAATCCGACTAAAGCGGACATACAGGAGTTCGTGAATCAGAACTTCGATCCTGAGGGTTCGGAATTTGAAGACTGGAGGCCCAGTGATTGGAAGCATAACCCTGGTGAGTGTATGAATCCGTTGAAAATGTACGATCGTCCTGCGTTAATTTTTCACGAAAGTGCAAATTAAACTGAATTTTAGTTTTTTTGTTGTTGTTTAGTTTGTTACTGGTCGAACTGTAGTGGAGTTTGATTAAAAAAATATTCAGAAGAAGAAGGCTTACTGTGGTGAAAAGGTTAAAAATGTTGGTAAATTAAATGAAAAGAAGATTTTTTTTTATTGTTTACTAGTGGTTACTGGAGTCCATAGACATCTACAACGTAAATGCCGCCACCTACCTTGAGCTATGAGTTCCAGGTCCAGTATACTTACAACGGCTGCTCCGCCCTTCAAACCGAAACGCATTATTGCCTCACGTCAAAAATAGGCAGGGTTATAATTTTGCGGGTTTGATTTTTATTACACGATTTTATTAGAAAAATTAGTACTCGCTGGCGGGATTAGATACAACACCGGACGTCTTATCCTTTAGGTCCTGATGACTTGAAATGAAAAAAGAGTATCGTTTTATCATCGATTTTTCTCATTGCACAAGTCGAACATAGGTTTTGAACACACGTGTATTTGACTGTATATATTATATGACCGTTATTCTATTAATTAGAATCGCGTTTCATTCACAGGATTTCTTGCTAAAATCAAGGATCCGTTGTTGCACAAATGGGCATCAGCCTTGAACGATTTATGGCTCGATCTCGGGAGGAAGATGAAGGAAGCAGTCAAAGAGAGTCCAGACTTATACTCCATTATATACGTGGAGCAACCTTTTATTGTTCCAGGTGAGTTTACTGATATACAGTATGCTTAGTGCGAGTTTTTTAACGTTCTCGATAGCGTAAAAGTTAACTCAAATTTGTACGAAGTTGGAACGTTTGCCGCTAGGGGCGCTGTTCCAACTGCATACAAATTTTAGTTAACTTTTACGCTATCGAGAACATTTTTTTTTATTGCTTAGATGGGTGGACGAGCTCACAGCCCACCTGGTCTGAAGTGGTTACTGGAGCCTATAGACTTCTACAACGTAAATGCGCCATCCACCTTGAGATATGAGTTCTAAGGTATCAAGTAGTTAGTTACTTACGTTAAAAAACTCGCACTAAGCACAGAGGTTGGGCTGATTTATTGAATATCAAGTTGGGGTGTGGACATCCATTGTGGGCGGTCATTTATTACAGGGTCGGCTTCGTTAGATCTTCTACACGCCTAGAACGTGAAATGGAAGTCCGATCCAGTCTACCTTATTTTGTAACGGGGCTTGTACAATCGGATCCTAACTTCATGTGTGGAGTCGGTGCAGTGGAAGTAATTGAAACGTAATTAATAAATGTACAGTAAATTTTCCGTTCCCGCTGAGACAAAACTCTGTGAGGACAAAGAGACCGAAAGTGCTGCCTTCCCTTTCGCCATCCTACTCCACGAGTTTCTCTTTTTTTTCCCCTACCTATGCTGATAGCCATGATAGGCTATTTCAGCTTTTCCTTGACGTGTAGGTGAGCTCACGGGGCTCAAACCGGAGCGTTGCTAACACTGACCCTAGCATGAGCAGTACTTTGCAGAATCTATCACCGGATCGGAAACGCGACCCACTGAGAAGATCCGGCAAGAAACTCCCACTGAGTTTCTGTGGGTTAATTCACTCGTCGAGCCCTTGGTCGCAAGCGACGGGTTCGACGAGAACGGTGACCGGTGCTTGTGGTACCTAAAAGCACCGTTAATGGAATCCGTAATGATATGTGATTATTGTACAGGTGGTCGTTTCCGTGAGTTCTACTACTGGGACTCATACTGGATCATCAAAGGTCTGCTGCTCTCGGAGATGAGGACCACAGCGAAGGGCATGGTCAACAATTTACTCAGCATAGTCGATAGATACGGCTTCATACCGAATGGCGGCAGAATTTATTATCTTATGAGGTACGATAAATCTTTTTCCTCATAAAAACCATTTGATACGTTTATTGACGTATTTCGGGAGAGTGGCTCGCGGGCTCTTTGATGTTAAGCAGTTACCGGTCCATAAGTAACGTCACATTAAGACCAAAGGACAAGTATCAAATTTATTTATTTATTTATATATATTAATTTATTTATAAAACTTTACCCTAATATTCGAACCGGTCTGCACTGCAGCAGAAATAGTCAAGTTGGATATACCTTCTAGTGTGGCTTGTAACGCTCCCAAACATTATGTTTTTTTGCATAGATCGGTAAACGAGCTGCAGCTCATCTGGTGTTAAGTGTTTACCGGAATCCATAGACATCTACAACGTAATCGCCGCCACCCACCTTGAGATATGAGTTCTAAGGTCTTAGCATAGTTACAACGGCTGCCCTTCAAACCGAAACGCATTACTGCTTCACGGCAGAAATAGGCAGGGCGGTGTTACCTACCCGTGTGGACTCACAAGACGTCCTGCCACCAGTGAAGTGTCTAGTTTTCCGTATTAGTGCCTAAAAACAAAGCCTGTTTCCAACGCGAAACATTAATCGCGTCAGAAATAGACATAATGGGTACATCTCCCAGTGTGACTTTTAACACTCCCTAACATCATTAGATAAAATCTCTAGCTCTCTATATTGGTGTTTAGAATCAGTGCCTATTTCTGCTGTCATGCGTTTCTAAGGTAGTTCCAATGAAGTTGATGTTGCAATTTTATGTCTCAATGTGGAACACACTTAGTTGGATAGTCCTTTGTTGTGTAATAATGATGTTGTAGAGGTATACGACAAAGGGAAGATGTTTCACCGAGCTGGTGATATTGCTCGGTAGACCGACGGTCCGAATGTTGTTGTTCGGAACTTGTATATTTTATGCAAACTTATCTTGAAAATGTCGTAAGCGAGATTCAGAAATCTGTCAAATATCTTGTGTTCTATGATGGCTACCCGCCGCAATGATATAGAATTAACCAGCGGGTTTTTTTTTTCCTACCTAAGCCGGTAGTCTTAGAGGGCTATGCCAACGTAACCGATCGAGATAATGTCAATTGGTCCGTACCGAATACAATATTCGCAGGTCGTGCTAGAGTTTAGCTAACACTTGATGAATCTCACAATATCTTTCATCAGATCTCAACCTCCCCTTCTGATACCGATGGTGCAGCTGCTAATGGAAGACACCGATGACCTGGAATACCTGAGGGAGCACATCCACACCCTGGACAAAGAGTTCGACTACTGGATGACGAATCACACCATCGAAGTTAACCACGAAGGGAAGAAGTACGAATCGATTGATGCTTATTTAGGTTTTGACTATGCATTATGCAATTTTTTGCCATTGCTCTAGGCGATCAAACAGTTATTTTATATGATTGCTGTAGCCCATGGACATCATTGCATTACTGTCGCAGTCTAAGTACGACATATGGTTGAAGTCTTCATAGCATAGCTGATATGGCTACCGTATTCTTTACTTCGGGACCCACGACTGCGAACCGCGTTCAAAAGAAGCCCACCTAATCCTTTCCTAGGTGAAAACCTAGAACCTAGGTCAGTACACCATGGAACCCTCTAAACTAAACCTAATTTACGTTGTGATGTAAACTAGATCCGACCAATCGTCGATTTGGTCGTAATCTTAGTCGATAATTTATAGGATAATCTACCCGCAAATCTCAATAAAAAACTTGTCTCTTTTTTTCCCTTCCCATGCTAATAGCCTTGAGAGGCTATTTCAGCTTCGCCTTGACGTGTAGGTGAGCTCTCGGAGCTCAAACCGGAGTGTTGCTAACACCGGCCCTAGCAAGAGCAGTGCTTCGCAGAATCTATCACCGGATCGGAAACGCGACCCACTGAGAATATCCGGCAAGTAACTCAGTGGGCTGTGTCTATGGGTTCCTTGTCACTTAACTGTAGGTTAAGGCGTTCTTTTACATTTCGTAATCTTGTTTTTCAGATTGAAAATGGCGATGTACATGGATAATTCTCAGGGTCCGAGGCCGGAGAGCTACAAAGAAGACGTCGACTGTGCTAGGTGAGCGTTCTGAACACACTACGAATACCATTGTAAGTCGTCGCGGCCTAAAAGATAAGACGTCCGGTGCATTCGTATCTAGCGATGCACCGGTGTTCGAATCCCGCAGGCGGGTACCAATTTTTCTAATGAAATACGTACTTAACAAATGTTCACGGTTGACTTCCACGGTGAAGGAATAACATCGTGTAATAAAAATCAATCCCGCAAAATTATAATTTACGTAATTACTGGTGGTAGGATCTCTTGTGAGTCTGCACAGGTAGATACTACCGCCCTGCCTATTTCTGCCGTGAAGCAGTAATGCGTTTCTGTTTGAAAGGCGGAGCAGCCGTTGTGCTGTAAAAACTGAGATCTTAGAATTCATATCTTATGGTGGATATCGGCATTTACGCTGTAGACCGGTGTTTCTCAACGTGGGGACCACGCCTCACAAAGAAGCAATTTGATAAAAAAAGGGGGGCAATCGCACTAAATTAATATAGAAAATCTGTATTTAAATTAGTTTGAATTTGAATTTCAGTTTTTTATTATATGTTTTGAAATATTACTTACTGTGTTTTGATAATAATTTCATAGTGATTTCTTCCTAAAACCTATCATTTATGTTCCTTAAGTGCACAAATCAATTTTTTAATATTAGTAATTACGTATGGGGGGACATTAAAGTTTTAGAAATGTTACAGTGGGGCATGCCACAAAAAAAGTTGGGAAACACTGTTGTAGATGCTTATGGGCACCGTTAACCATTTAACACCAGGTGGGCCGTGAAATCGTCCAACCATCTAGGCAATAACAAAAAAGATTACTTTATTGGGACCATTTAAACGAGGCTTATGATTCATTTGTATATACGCAGACATTTTGACACAACTGAGAAGAAAGAAGAATTGTACGCTGAATTGAAGGCAGCCGCTGAATCCGGCTGGGATTTCTCATCACGATGGTTCATACTGAACGGAACCAATAAAGGTGAGTGATTTTTAATACGCTTTTATTAGCTTCAGACGTATGTATGTTAATATGTAACGGAATCTTTGAACACGATTTTGACCCCCTTCAAAACGTCGGATTAACTCGAAATTTGGTATACTTATTAAGGCCCGATGACAATTCAATATTTAAAAAATATAATTGAGACAGTTGAAATTCAACTAAAAAATTGAAAATAAATAATAGTTTAAAAAGAATACGCTTTTATATAAAATCCAACTAAAAAATGAAATTTTTTTTGAAAAATAGTGTAAGAAAAAATTATTTTATTGTAAAAAAGCGTGGTATTAATTTATAAAACTATTAAAATTTGTTTAACTTATACAAAACCACAAAAATAACATTTGAAGTTAATGACTAAAGTTTTGTGCTCAGCACGCAATGTATCGCAATTAATAATGAACAGACGAGGGGTCAATGGCCTCGAATGAACGCGGTGGCGCTTAAATTGACTTTACATTGCTTTGTGCGAAGTATGAGCTTACTAAACAACAATGTATCTTTATTGTTTAGTAGTGATTTCGCAGGAGATACATATTTTATTTATTTATTGCTTGATGGGTGGACGGGCTCACAGCCCACCTGGTGTTAAGTGGTTACTGCAGCCCATAGACATTTACAACGTAAATGAGCCACCCACCTTGAGATGGTCACCAAGGTCTCAGTATAGTTATAGCCGACTTAACCTAATAGGTGTATGGCTCTAATAAAGAATTTAAAAAAAAATGTATAGTTACAACGGCTACCCCTCCCTTCAAGCCGAAACGCACTACTGCTTCACGGCAGAAATAGGCAGGGCGATAGTACCTACCCGCGCGGACTCACAAGAGGTCCTACCACCAGTAAAAAATGATTGTAATATCATCCATATGTCTGAAGACCGACATTATTAGGCCTGAAGCAACGATGTACCATCAGTAAATTCTACCCTCACATTTTAGGTAATCTAACTAATTTGAAGGTGAGGTCGATAATTCCCGTCGACCTCAACGCGATCTTGTGTTGGAATGCGCAGCTCATGATGGAGTACCACACCCGCCTTCAAAATGAGGAGAAAGCATCTTACTATAGGCGGATACACGATGACTTCATGGAAGCTATCGAAGAGGTATTCCTAAATATTATATTATAATCTTTCGACAATTGTCATAAAATCGTATATCAATTATCTATTAAACTAATCTATATTTAATATATTAACACGTAAAGCAAAAATTCGGTACCCCTTTTTAAGAAAATTGCGCAGAGGGAGGAGTATGAAATTTCCCACACTTATAGAAAACACAGAGAAAGAGTGCAAAATGTATTTTTTTTTTTATTGTTGATAGAAATACATTAAATCAATTTAAAAAAAACATTACACACTACCATGTATTTGACACACACGTGCATATATACTCTTTTGTTTATTATCAAAGTCTGTGGTCTAATTGAGAATAGATTAATTATTGTTTGTCTTTAATATTATTTGTCTATAGCGAAGTCTTGGCGAAATCTGTGATTGTAGAATAATGATTATAAGAGAAATGATGATCATAGAATTGTGACCATAAAAGTATAAAAATGTACAAACTTATAATTAAAATTAATTAAAGTCTAATTTCGACTACTGGAGGGGACCACTATCTATATATTAATACGTGAAGCAAAAACCTTGTATCCCTTTTTACGAAAATTGCGCGGACGGAGGAGTATGAAATTTCCCACACTTATAGAGAATGTATAGAAGAAGTGAACAACGCTAGGTAATATTTCTTTAAAATAATGCATAAAATATACATTAAATCAATAAAGAAAACATTACACACATTACCATGTATTTGACACAACACATAATAATATATAAATATACTCTTTGTTTATTGTCAATTGTCAAACTTTTGTTAAGTGTTTAAAGTCTGTGGTCAAATTGAGAATAGATGAATATTGTTTGTCTTTATTATTATGTATGTATAGTGTAGTTTTGGCGAAATGTGTGATTATATTATATAAGTACCATAGTATTTGACAATAGAACCATAATAGTGCTTAAAAATAAAATTTCAATGGATTAAAGTCGAATTTCGACTTCTGCGGGACCACTACTTCAATGTAAAAACGTATTTTAATCTATTAATGTAATGTACTATAAGAAATTGGAGAAATTTTATTGCTACCATATTGGATTAAGGATGTCTTGGTGTGTGTGTGTGTGTGTGTGTGTGTGTGTGCGTGCGTGCGTGCGTGCGTGCGTGCGTGCGTGCGTGCGTGCGTGCTTGCGTGCGTGCGTGCGTGCGTGTGCGTGTGCGCGTCTGTGTACGTGTGCGTGTGCGTGTGCGTCTGCGTGTGAGATGTAATACGCATAATGGGCCTCTGATATAATTAAACGATGGGTAAAAATATCCTTGATCTTCCTGCAGCTACTGTGGCACGAAGACGTGGGAGTTTGGTTGGACTACAGCCTCGAGTCTAGTCGCAGGAGAGACTACTTTTACCCGTCCAACCTGTCTCCGCTCTGGGCCGGCAGCTACGATAAAGCGAGAAAGGATTACTTCGTGAATAGAGTCGTCAATTATTTGGATAAAGTCAAGGTACGTGATCAAATTTTTGAAGTGAAACTTCTTTAGAATCGTTGTGTGTGATTTCAAACTCGATGAAACGAAATGAAACGAAACGAAAAGATAAGTGTGCCGCGATTGGCTGGACGAAACGGCTCCGAACGACGCCGACAAATCACGAAGCGCTCCACACGGTCTCGCGTCCCCGACTAGTTCAGTGTGTTTTTGACGTCCGTGCACGCTGTCGTGGCTCTCGGAGCGCCTTTAAGTTTCACTTCTACTGTGTGTAACTTGCACATACACTCACATTTTATTTTTTAACTTGACCTCTCGCAGTAACCTGGTTTTAGTAATAAGATTTTGTGATGGTAAATATCTGATTAATTGCCTTTTTCGTTCTCATGAGACAGCCAATCACACTTGCAAAAAATTGAATATCTCTACCACTCTCAAAGTTTTTTCATTATTGCTTGGTCAGTTTTTTTCCTCTTGTTTTTTGATGGGCGGGCGAGCTTACAGCCCACCTGTGTGCTTAGTGGTAAGTATAAGATACACAGCAGGACTATTTACAGGGAATTTGCATCATTTTGTTGCTTTGAACAAAATTTAATAACGAGAAATCCTCAAAACTCTATCGAACTGGTTGGTGATAATGAAGACTTTGTAACTGTATCAAAGTGATTTTCCACAAAAAGCTACAGAATAGAGAACCATCGAAATTTTGTTTTTCTGTTCTTTTTTTTTGCTTAGATTGGTGGACGAGCTTACGGTTCATCTGGTGTTTAGTGGTTACCGGAACCCAGATGTGTATGGGTTTCGTAAATGCCGCCACCCAAAGATGCCGTAGAACCACGGACGTTTCTTATTTGTTGTAATCCGTCCCCTAGATGGATATCTTCGAAGGCGGAATCCCAACAACGTTCGAACACACCGGCGAACAGTGGGACTATCCCAACGCGTGGCCGCCCCTTCAGTACATCGTCATAATGGGCCTAGCCAACACCGGGCACCCGGAGGCGATGAGATACGCCACCGAACTCGCCACTAAGTGGGTGCGAAGTAACTTTGAAGTCTGGAAGCAGAAGGCCGCCATGCTGGAGAAGGTAGGTTTTCATAAATACTTTTACTGATGCAAATGAACAGACTTGCTCACGAAAAACCCGTACTGGTGATAGGACCTCTTGTGAGTCCGCGCGGGTAGGCACCACCGCCCTACCTATTTCTGCCGTGAAGCAGTAGTGCGTTTCGGTTTGAAGGGTGGGGCAGCCGTTGTAACTATACTTGAGACCTTAGAACTTATATCTCAAGGTTGGTGGCGCATTTACGTTGTAGATGTCTATCGGCTCCAGTAACCACTTAACACCAGGTGAGCTGTGAGCTCGTCCACCTATCTAAGCAATAAAAAAAATGGTTGTCGAAGTCCATAGAAAAAACAAATTAAATGTGTACTCGAGTTGAATAATTCGAAATCCTCATTTTCGCTATTTCATTGCTTGCTACTCCAACCAGATCTTAGAAGTGGGGATTAAAGGAAGGAAGATAAATTAGGTAGGGAAATAAAAGCGGAATACTTCAACTACGGGTCAGATGTGGGAATGTCTCCAGAAGACTTGAGTTCCACTATACCACGAGATAAACTCGTACCAATTCACAAACTGGAATGAGGAAGAATAAATAGGATTGGCTGGCTATGTCATTGGCTCTCGGAAACCAGAATCGCTCACCCGTAGAATCCCTCACTTTGTTTTTGGTAAGCAGCGGCTTGGCTCTGCTCCTGGCATTGCTGAAGTCCATGGGCCACGGTGACCAGTCACCATTAGGTCAGCCGCATGCTCGTCTGCCTACAAGGGCAATAAAAGATAGTACTCAAACTCAAACGAGGCTTGTGGAGAGTTTTAAATTGACTTTACTCCTGGCATTGTTGACATCCATGAGTGACGATAACCACTCACTATTAAGTTTTTTTTTATTGCGTAGGTGGGTGGACGAGCTTACAGCTCACCTGGTGTTAAGTGGTTACCCATAGACATCTACAACGTAAATGCGCCACCTACCGTGAAAATGCTTGGTGGGCCATATGCTTCTCTTCCTCTAAGTATAAGTAATATAAGTCTCAAATGAATGTCACAACAGTACGACGCCACGATTCTGGGTGGGCTGGGTGGCGGCGGAGAATACGTCGTCCAAACCGGCTTCGGATGGAGCAATGGCGTTGTGATGTCGCTCCTAAACAGATATGGAGGTAAGAGGATTTAAAAAAAAAAACTGACAGCTAACTTACAGTCTGATATTAAAAAAATCAATTAAAAAATCCATCAATAATACCTATTAGAAATTAATTAAGTCATCATCATCATCGTGTGATGTGGAATTCTTGTTTATTAAAGCCTTGACAGATGTTCTCCATAGTTTGCGAACTGAGGCTTGGCGCGCGCACTCGTTAAGTGGGGTTTTATTAAGTAGTCAAATTAATTAAGTAGTGACGTAAAATAATAGTTTATTACTTATTATTGCGTGTAAGTAAAATCTCTTTATTCTCTCGGTATATGTTCCGCAATTAGTTCGCGAATACGGATAACGTGAATATGGAATAGCGCGCTTACAAAAGAAGTTCAGTTGGATACGTACATATTGGAATCCTTTTTATCATAGCTTATGTACCGATGTATCTATTAGATCCGCGAATTAAGAAACCTTTAGCCGCGAATATAGGAATTGGGTTGCATTTTTTTAAATCCGCAAATAGTGAAAACGCGAATTAAGAAAGCGCGAATAAGGAGCTTTTACTGTACTGAATTATAAACATTTTTCTATAAATTCCCAATGAAATACAGGTAACCCTACTATAACACGGTATTTTACAACACGGTTTTGACTCTAACGCGAAAAGAAAAAATCCCCAAAGCCCTCTTATAACACGATACTTCTACAACACGATAAAGAGATTTTTGTTTATAATTATTTAGAAAATTACATTATGCACTATAAAACACACAATATATGGGAGTAACTAAAATATAACTTCCTAATTTTTATGTATAATAGGTAAAAAATAAATAGAGGTGTAGTTGAGATGCTTCATTCGGAAAAATCACTCTCCTTTTTTACTGACTTCTCATATAACACGGTTTCGCACTACGCGGAACTTTGTAGGGACGTATCTACCGTGTTATAGGACGATTACCTGTATTACTTCTCCACTCGCCCCTTTATTTTCCTTTCCAACGGTTTTTGTTTTTATTGTGTAGATGGATGAACGACACATCTGGTATCAAGATGGTTACAAAAGTCCATAGACATGGCATAAAAGCCACCTCCCATATATCTCGACAAGCAAGGTCTTAGTCTCAATGGTACAAAATTCCCAACCTTCAAACAAGCATTGCTGATTCTCAGCAGATGTATGGTGGCAAATACTCTTACGAAATCACAACACTACCAGCATTTAGTGCTAGTTAGATCGAACTGTGATAGCACAGATTAGACTTAAAGTTTATTACTCTATTGCATGGCCGATTATGCTAATAAATTTTAAAATGGCTATTTATTATTAATCTGTGATTTACGCCAACAATAACTCTATTGCATGGATAGTTATGCTGATAATTTTTAAAATCGCTATTATTAATCTATGATTTAATTTAATCAAGGTAACGGTTTTTTTTTATTGTTAAATCGAAGTCCCTCGTTGAACACAAAATTCGTTTTTGCATAATTTACTTAACATCGGATTAGATTTAGGAAATAACATTATTCAACTCATTCTATATGGGATTATTTGAAAGTAATTTACAAACGCATTTTACTAGTTTACTTACTGGTCTTGTTACTTTTTAATTTATAAAAACTAGTATAGTACATAGTCTTATTTAATTATGGATTCCATTTTTAATTGTGTTTAAATCGTTTTTAATGTTTGTTCATTCATTCGCTCACTCATTCGCCGTGGAAGTAATTGACTACATAGGTACGTTCATTCATTAAATTGTCGTTTTGTGTTAAAAATAGTTGGTATTAGTTTAGTATAGTATTTGTTGTATTGTATATAGTAGTTAGTTTTTTTTTATAAACATTTCATTGAATGATTCTTTAAGTTCTAGTAGTTTGGAGACCAACAAAAAACTACACGCGATACTCAAAATAAGCACACACACACTATTAATCCGTGTGACTAATAGATCCTAATTTATGCTTTTGTTGTATATTTTTAACCTAAATTTGTATATATGTCTTGCACTAATACCGCCTTTATATAATTTTTTTATACTTTACAATATTGTAAAGTATAAAAAAATTATATAAAGGCGGTACATATGTACACCTACAAATATTTATTTTTATGTGTGTATATATTAACTTCATTGTAATTACAACGTCTGTACAAATATGGAATGTCTGACTATAAGTTTTTGATGCATACATAATTCAAGTGAAAAGATAATTATTGATGCTACATAGTGTTGTGGAAATCGTTTTTTTTTTTATTCCCTACCTTATCGCTGGTGGTTTAAGGGGATATTCCAACTACACTGTGACTGGTAGGTGAATTCACCGGCTCAACCTGCTGCTAACACTAGCCCTGACAAGAGTACTGGTTCGCAGAATCTACCACCGAATCGAAACTCAATGGGCTGTCTATGGGCTAGTTCACTCGCCTTAATCAACGAATTCTCGCATCAATAATCTATAGACAGATGAATCTGGTAGTTTTTTTTTTTTGTTTTTTGTTTGTATGCGTGTATGAGCTCACAGCCCACCTGGTGCTAAGTGGTTACCGGAGCCCATAGACATCCACATCGTAAATGCGCCACCCACCTTGAGATATAAGTTCTAAGATCTCAAGTATAGTTACAATGGCTGCCCCACCCTTCAAACCGAAACGCATTACTGTTTCACGGCAGAAACAGGCGGGGTGGTGGTACCCACCCGCCTGACTCACAAGAGGTCCTACCACCAGTAGTAATATATTTCAGCCCGAAGATCCGGACGCAATGCGCGATCGGAACTTCGACCTCATGCCTCAAAGTTTGAAGAGTTTGAGGCTCAAACTCCTTACAGCACTAAGAAAAGTTTAAAAATTTACAGGCATTCGCATAAACTATACAACACAAACAAAGAAAGCTAAATAATATACATAATATTATATTAATTTTATATTTCAGAAAACATATGTTAATTAACACATATTTGCTTGTTTTAAGACCTTGATATTGAAATATGTTGATTATTTCGAATTTATTTCAATCTGTTTATTGAACCTAAAAAATTCTAAACAAAAATATGCTAAGTATTTCAATATCAAATCTTTTTTATTATTATTATTATTCAGCACTGCATGCAAGTGGTCGGGTCATATCTAAACTATGGGTTTTGTAGCTTGTCTTGTATAGTAGTTATAAAGATATGCACATAATTTGTTTTTAGATATATTTTAATTTGTAGTATTTTTATTATTAATTATAATTAACTTTGGTATTCTGGTTCGTATTTTATACATTTCCTTGTATAGTTTTTGTTTTTCGTTTTTCATCTGGCAATATTGAAATAGTAGAGGGTAGACGTTAAAAAAACAAAAAAATATTGTTGTCGCTATTGACAAATTCCTGACCGTAGTGTTTTTATTATTGTATTAATTAACTTTGGTATTCCGGTTCGTATTTTATACATTTCCTTGTATAGTATTTGTTTTTTGTTTTTCATCTGCCAATATTGAAATAGTAGAGGGTAGACGTTAAAAAAACAAAAAAATATTGTTGTCGACATTGACAAATTTGTGACAAAGCTACATAATCGTGGGTATGGATGAGCCGGCCGCTGGCGCAGTGCGCTGACCGGGGGCCTCTTTGACAGACGTAATCTCGGCAGCCGACAACTTCGGAACGGCGGCGGAATCGGGCGCTGTCTACGGCGCCGGGGTGGGCGCCGGTGGCGTAGTCACGGCGCTCCTAGTGGTCCTAGCTTCTTTGGCTGCTGGAACTTTAGGGTGAGGTGGGTATTGCAAAAAAGTACTTATTTTGTTGTGGCTTGGCTCATTGCTATCATCCGTGGGTGACGTTGCCCACTATAAGATGGGCCGTATGCTCGTGTGCTAGCCCAAAACACGTCATTTCGGATACTCCCGATCCAGTAACGGTGCTTTTAGGTACCTCAAGCATCGGTCACCGTGCTCATCTAACCCGTCGCTTGCGACGAAGGGCTCGACGAGTAAATTAACCCATAGACACAGCCCACTGAGTTTCTCGCCGGATCTTCTAAGTGGGTCGCGATTCCGACCCGGTGGTAGGTTCTGCGAAGCACGGCTCTGAAAAATGTGATAATTGAAATTGCTAATTACGTAAAACTCTTATTGTATTCTCGGATATGTAGTTTTCACTTTAATAACCTAATTCGTTTGTTTGTTACAGATATCAATTTGTATACTGTAGATGCGTCATGAGACCCAAAAGTAAGATCTTTCTGTTATTTACAATTATAATATTTTACTAGACCTTGAACTGTTATTTTTATCTAGTACTGTTATAACACAAGCTTAGACTTCTCAAACATACATTTTAATTGTGCATGGCAACTTTTGTTCGTTGAGTGTTGCCATTTGTGAAAAGATAGTGATTTAATTTTGTTTTTTTTTTAATACTGTTCATTGGCAAATCGAATCTAAATTTTATTTACAATCTGACAATACCTCTGAAGTATCTGCAAGTTATCAGAGGTGAATTTTTAGAACAGAAATACAAAGTTGAAAGTACTTTTTTGAAATATACGCTTTTATCTATCTTGTTTCCCTTTGTTTTCTACTGCAAAATATGATTTTTGAACCAATTATTTATTTGAATTTATATTATTAATAACGGTCGATTTGGTATTTGATAAAGAAGAGCTAGATAGAAACTAGTATTACAATATTAAATATTGAAATCGCCATCTGAACGAATGCCTTTGATATATAGTTTAAAAAAATATGTATTTTTTCTAACATAAATTAAGTTTGCTTCTTGCCTTTATTATTATAGTTTTATTTGACGAATTATTAACTTATAAATGATTTACCGTGAGTACAATTAATAATCTTTAATTGAATATATATATTTTTAAAATAAATAGGTAATGAATAGTATTCTTTTATAGTTCATTAGGGACTTTACTTAATACTTTAGGATTTCAAGTCTCAAATTTTTCGTGGTGAAGAGATATGTATGGTAAATCATTACTATCGCACTGTTTAAGGACATTTACCATATAATCTACATTCCTATTAATGGTCTAGTATGCGACCAATGTATTTAAAAAAAAGGTTTTACTATGTATAACAATAAATTGTTTTGTTTTAATATGAAAAATTGTATATTTTGTTTATATTAAAATTAAAAATATGTGATAATAAGGATATAGTTCAGTATCAGTATTTTCATCAAAGTTTATTTATTTAATTTATTTTATTATAGTAATCGTTCGAAATAAATTATTTAATTTTCATTCTTACCTTTTACGGATGTAGTTTTTAGGTTATGGTGTGGTACAATAAAAATAAATCGAATATTGTTTAATTTTGTTTATATTAATTAAGTAGGCGTTTTCCGATTTACATGTAATTTGAACAATAACAATAGAAACATTACAATCACTTTTATTTATTTATTTATACTTTATGCACAAAACAAAACTTGCACACAGTATAAAAATAAAGTTATACAACAGTGTTAGAATCTAGTCTATTAGACTCTTAGTCTAAGTAAGAGTTTACTGTCCAAATTTTAGATGTATTTTATTACAATTATACAAATTTAGGATTGACAATGTAGAATTTTGATAAAAAAAATTACTGGTGGTAGGACCTCTTGGGAGTCCGCACGGGTAGGTACCACCACCCCGCCTATTTACGCCGCGAAGCAGTAATGCGTTTCGGTTCGAAGGGTGGGGCAGCCGTCGTAACTATACTGAGACCTCAGAATTTATATCTCAAGGTGTGTGGCGCATTTACGTTGTAGATGTCTATGGGCTCCAGTAACCACTTAACACCAGGTGGGCTGTAAGCTCGATCAGTCATGTATGCAATAAAAAAAATGTAGCCACATTACATTAAATGATGTATCTAACCGGAAAGCAATGTTAGCTTTTCAATCTAGAACGTTCGAGTTACGTAACAGTATGTAGTCAACTCATCTCATTAACCATATTTACGAACACGTCATGTTATAATTAATTTCATTATTATCTTATTTAAATATAGTGGTGTTTACACAAGGTTTTCACTGCCGTCGGTCGCAGCAGTAAATACGAGTCGTTTTTGTTTCGACTTAAAAATGTCGTTGTTCAGATACTATTCTGTAGTCTGTGTAGTCTCAGTAGACAGGAATAGCATCGTGTAATAAAAGTCAAACCCGCAAAATTATAATTGCGTAATTACTGGTGGTAGGACCTCTTGTGAGTTCGCGCGGGTAGGTACCACCGCCCTGCCTGTTTCTGCCGTGAAGCAGTATTGCGTTTCGGTTTGAAGGGTGGGGCAGCCGTTGTAGCGATATTTGAGACCTTAGAGCTTATATCTCAAGGTGGGTGACGCATTTGCGTTGTAGATGTCTACGGGCTCCAGTAACCACTCAACACCAGTGGGTTATGAGCTGGTCCACCCATCTAAGCAAAAAAAAAAACAAAATTTCGGTGGTTCTCAATCTGTAGCTTTTCACCAGTCCGATAGAGGTTTGAGGATTTTTCGTTATTTAATTTTGTTAAATTCAACAAAATGGTGCAAATTCCCTGTAAATAGTCCTGCTGTCTATCTTATAGCGTTCCGTGATTAAATACGAGAACATTACCTGACCTCCACACATCCTCATTCTCCAGAGTGATTTATGTGTCCTATTATAATTGACCCCGACATTGGAACCGTACTTATTCAAACGACAGTACTTGTTGCTTCATATAGGATCGCCTTTACAAAAATTGTCAGGTAACACTTAATTATTACGTCGTAGAGATGAATTTCGTTTGGATTAATGAGTTCAACAAACCAATCTCTGATCCTTTCCGGTAATCATTAATAGAGATGGTATAGTACAGGGGCAGCCAACCGGTAGATCGCGATTGACCGGTCAATCGTGGCTATTCGTTCAATCGATCGTGGCAAGTTAAAAAATATAAATACATAGAACAGACTTCGCAACGTAATCACCAATTGCTGCACGCATCATCTTCATTTTGTATAATTTGTTAATAGCCATTACGTCATATTATTTATCCTCTCTTCTACACAATAGTTCTCTTTTATTATATAATTTTAGGTTTATTTTAATCTTTTTAATAAAAGAACATATGCTGCTTATTTGTATACTGAATTACATTGTTTCGTTAAATTGCAAGAAAGGTCATTGGCAGATCGCAGAGTGCTTCGTCAGTAGACAGTAGATCTTGGTTCTAATCAAGTTGACCACCCCTGGTATAGTAGCACAGTCCTGACTGCATCAGTCGATTAAATAAATTACCTTTTAAATTATAAGTGCTACTGATTTTCATTCTTCATCAATATTATCGAAATATACTCAGAATTCAATATAAATCTTTACAGGGCGTAAAGATACCAGTCTCTCTGAAGCCGTAACTACAATGAACTATTACTATTAAAAAAACTAGATATAGTATCGATTTTCCCGAACTGTTAAGTCTCTATATCGGGCAAATATTAATAAGACACGTATTCGGTTAAGTGACTAAGGTATATTCGAATTACAATATATCGAGGGGTAAAAAGCTAATTAGCCTGATGGCTAAGGCTGATGTAAGCGACATTTTGGCAAATTTACAGGAGGTTATTAGGTTTTTAAGGTTTAAAATTTCGAAAAAATATCTTAAACTTCTTCAGCTATTTCAATGAAGTAAACCTACTTAAAGTTGAATTAAAATCATCAGAATGTTGATGTTAATCACTACATAGTGTAAAACAACGTCGCTTTCTCTATCCCTATATCTGTCTGTCCCTATGTATGCTTAAATCTTTAAAGCTACGCAACTGATTTTGATGCGGTTTTTTCTATACTAATATTATAAAGAGGAAAGATTTGTTTGTTTGTTTGTTTCGAATAGGCTCCGAAACTACTGGACCGATTTGAAAAATTCTTTTTCCATTAGAAGCCGACATTGTCCCTGATGAACATAGGCTACTTTTTTTAATTATTTTTTTTTTGGTTTCATGTGTGTTTTAATGTTTCCGAAGCGAAGCGAGGGCGGGTCGCTAGTTAATAGATAAAGTGATTGAAGAGGAAGGTTTATATGCATAATAACATCTATCAAATAGTGGAGAAATCAATAATAAATTACAGTTTCCGAAGCGAAGCGAGGGCAGGTCGCTAGTACTAAATAAAACGCACCTTTAATTACAAAGATGAATGTATCGGTTTAAGTGAAATGTCGCTCCCCCTCGGTATTATCCCTCTCATAATTTGCTTTGGCTAACATCAATCCTGCCTGTTAATACCAGTCCTATATGATCACAGTAACCCCTCCTGGCTGAAACCGTGCTCGCCTATCTGTCCTGGGGAAACTGAAAAGGCGTTCGGGCTACCAGTAACCATTCTTAAAAAAAAAATTCATAGTAGTGAAACAGTTGAGTGAGAACTATGATTAGGAAGTCATGTTGCATACCCGTATCTTCTAGCTAGTTGACCTTATTGCTAATTATATAGTAATCATATAGTAATGACCTAGATCTAAAAGTTTACAACAAGAATTTACTATACCCGCATCTCTCATCACCCTCACACAATGATGATATTACACAACTAATACTACTGATATTACACACAATGATCTCGGCTCTATTGAAGTGTGATCTAAGCTATGAGAGTAGTGTGTGAAAATGATTCCAAGCCTACCTTTTTTTGATAGGTGAGCTCACGGACTCTACTTAGGAGGAGAAAATATGTCACCAGCTTCTATACCTTGTATGGATCATGAGCTTCTTCTATCTGAACACTAATCACGATACCTCCAACAGTAAAATAAAACAAGACTCCTAAAAACCATCTCGCTTCTTCCAAATTGCACCAAGCCATAAATCCAACACCTAATTAATTGCTGCTATTTCTAAAACGAAACTAATCCCAAGGGAGTAAAGTATAAAATACCGTGCAATATAAAATCATCATATTTACCATTGAGTAGTGACGTAAATACCCCAACCTTGGCCATTTGTATAGTTATTTTGTTACAGCTATAAATCAATTTGCTAACAATACCACTTACCTACGACGACCTTGTTTAATTTCCTGTGATTATGTACCATAAATTAATTATTATACAATATACGAATCTCAAAGTTCTCTCGCTGCCTTGTCTATTAGGTTAAATTAGAGTTAGATCGAAACGATATGAATTTATTATAAAATTGCAATAAAATAAACTCGTATTGAAATAAACAAAACTAGGTAAGGATTTTTATCTATCTAACTTGTTGGCTATTTTTCCAGTTACGCGTGTTGAAATTCGGCAATTTCATTTAATCAGTACATAATACAATAAATAAAGGGAAATTTAAATAGATATTAGAACATTATTAAACACAAAAGAAGTACGATTTCAAAGCTTTTAAAAAAAGTTCCTATTTAAATTGTCATTGTCGTGTTGGCGTTATCAAATGCGTAAAGTTAAAAATATAAATGAATATTATATAATACTAGCTGTACCGCCTGCTTCGCTAGGCATTTAAAATTAACATTATTATTTCTCACCCCCACAAACATTCTCATCATTATAGCCCCCGCAACTGGCGTAGGGGGTCCAACACTCATATAAATATAGGTATTAGCCTATCTATTAAGTACATGTATTTTCTACATGGATACCAAGTTTCAAGTCAAACGGATGCATGCATGGTTCAGTAGTCATAACGGAACATCCGTAAAAACCGTTGTAGATTTATATATTAGTATAGATTATCAATAAATGTGTGATTGACTTGATTGTGATGAAACGTTTTTTTATTCTGAAGATACCTAAATACAAAAAAACATGGAAAATTAGGGAAAGTTTAAATTCATGAAATCGTTACTTTTTTGGCCGCATAATTAAAAACGACCCAGCACTGCTTTTCCTCTTTTGCTGTCTTCATTGTTTTTGTGTCTTCGTTGTTACGTTACCTTTGCTGCTTCAGTTCAAATGTGCATATTGAGATTTTCATTTAAGTAAATACTTCAAGGTTCGGTCGCCAGCTCGATAGGAGGTTTCGTAACGATTTTATTTCCTTCAACCACAAAATACATAGACTACATTAAAACTTACAAAAAAAAAACGATATTAAGACTCTTCTTTTTTTTTTCTACGGTGCGTGGACGAGCTCACGCCCCACTTGGTATTAACTGGTTACCGGAGCCCATAGATATTTACAATGTAAATGCCGCCGCCCACCTTGAGATATGAGTTCTAAGGTTTTTACAATACAACGGCTGCTCCACCCTTCAAACCGATAACCGTTACTGCTTCACGGCAGAAATAGACATTGTGGTGGTACTTACCCGTGAGGACTCAACAAAACGTCCTACCACCAGTAACGATA